GGGAGTCAAAAGTCCTAGGTTTGTTTGTATTGTAGACATTTGCTTGAGTACCAACTATGTTCCAAGCCCAGGAATGAGAACCAAAAAACTAGTGGAAAAAAATTGTAAAGCCCTCTTAAGACAGAGGTGAAATTTTTAATTCTTCCTAGGAAGATTTAATTCCTCTCTGCTCCCATGTCTTTTCTCATTTCTTGTTTCTAGATCTGTCTATCATGTTTTTAGACCTGTCTATCCCACTAGGTTGTAAGTTTCTTAAAACAAAGACTATTTTCTGCACCTCCAAACTCACATTAAACTGTGCTAGCTACATTGTAAGTATTCAGATGTGTATTGAAAAATGCCCAAAATAAATTACTTAAGTTATGTAGAGCCCTAGATTTTTCTTATGCAAGTAGGGAGTCTATGCCTCAGAATTGTTGAAACTAGATAAAAAATAATTTTTTAAACTACAGATCTGTATTGCTGTACCTCAACAAAAAATGTTTGCTTAAAAAATAAGTATAAAGAAGTATAAATTTGACATTTCTCCCCTGCTTAAAAGTGTTAATGGGACCTGTCATCGTCCCCTCTATAATATAAATTCCTTGAGAATAAGAACCTGAACACTTGTTTTTATTCGCTTGAATGCTCAGTAAAGACCCTGCCACCATCCCCTGCCTCATTTCTTGCCACTGCCCTTGGCTGCCTGTCTTGCACACTGATCTTCCTCAAGTCCCTGAAATGTATGTTGTAGTACCCAGGGTACTGTCCTGCACATACTGTTCCTGCCATCTAGGGGACCTGCACCCCAACTTTAGTTAATGCCTCTTTAGTCCTCAGAATGTGTGACTTCTCGAGTGACTTACTAATCATCTTCATCCCAGATTGGGGGATATTGCTTTTTTTTTTTTTTTTTAAAGAGAGGGACACAGAGAGAGAGAGAGAGAATTTTTTAATATTTATTTTCTAGTTTTCGGCGGACACAACATCTTTGTTTGTATGTGGTGCTGAGGATCGAACCCGGGCCGCATGCATGCCAGGCGAGCGCGCTACCGCTTGAGCCACATCCCCAGCCCAATATTGCTTTATTTAAAAACAGAGTATTTAATATAATTGGAATGAAATAAGCATTTAACAGGTATAACAGAACATAGCATACTTTGTCTTTTTTGTTCATATTTGTATCCCCAGCATCAACCTGTGAATTGTCAAGGTTGTAGGTCCATGAAACCATTTCAGACGAAGTTACAAAGACAGAATTGAAAATAGAATTTAAAATATCCTAGACTAGGGGTGCTCCTCAGTGGTAGAACATGTGCCTAGTGTGTATAAGGCCCTGGGTTTGATCTCCAGCACCAAAATTAAAAAAATTTAAAACTCTTAGTAATGCTAATGGTTAAAGTAAATATGGGAAGAACTGATCCATTTTAAATTGTCTTCAGGTTCTATTTTCTCTTGCATCCTTTTTCTTTTTTACGTGACAGATAATTGTATACCTTTATGGGGTATAGTATAATCTTTTGGTACATTTATACTCTGTGTGTGTGTGTGTGTGTGTGTGCACATTTAAAAATATATATTTCTTGCAGTGCTGGGGATTAAACCCAGGCCTTGCCAGTACTCGGCAAACACTGTTTCACTGAGCTACACCTCAGCCTTATATTTTTTTCTTAATTTCTACTCAGAGGTAAACATATTAAGATTATAGAAATAATATAATTACAAATATTAATTTGAAAATTTTATTTAGTCATTATAGTTTAGTGAATATCCTCTTAATCCTTATTAGTTGAAATAATCAGAATGGTTATTAAAAATCTTAATACATGCTAGGGATGCACATGACTACTTTTTTTGGATATTTGACTACACACTGTGTGCTGATGCTGTGCTAGAAGCCGGAACTATCAGGATGGGATGAGTAGAAATCTTTACTCTCAAGGACTGCAGAGCAAAGTGGGCGAGGCAGAGGTGGACCCAAGTGAGTGCCAATTGGTATGACAAGTGCTGTTATAGCTAGTATAAGGGTGGTGGTGTGGGGCTGTGCATGTAAAGGAAAGTCATAAGCACAGTGGGAGGGGATGAGATCTGGAAAGTATTCCAGCGAAGATGAAGATCATACAAGGCAGTGGAAGAAGAGGGCATTTCAGGCAGAGTGCACAGCCTGTGCAGAGGCATGAAAGTGTGCATTTAGTACATGGAGAAGATGACCAGTGGCGATGTGCTTTATAAAGCTGGTGTTAAGGCACAGGACCACCAGCTGTGGTTAGCTGTGACATGTCAGACAGACTCTTGGACTACAGTTTAGAACTGGAAATGACCTTGTAAATAATTATCTGATTCAGTATATTTGAACTCATAAAGGCATTATGAAGTTCCATTCAAGGAAGATAATCATAATCTAGAAAGGTACTTGTCACTTCAAGTTAATATGCTTGCTTGAGTAGAGTACCTGAAACCATGCAAATAATGTCATGTGGAATTAGAAAGTGGTGACTCATGGAAGCTTATCTGCAGCAGCAGAGAGTAAAGGAAGTGACCTTTAGATTACCTGAGGTGAGTGCTGATGCCATCTCTCATGGCCAGACACTGAACAGTGAAAGGGACGAGATAGGAAAGGACTACCCAGAAGGACCTTTGGGTGCGTGTCCTGAGAAAGATTATTCCCACAGCTTGAAGGTCTTTACAAGTCTCTAAGTCTCCACGTGGTTCACTGAGCTAGCATTAGTCTAATTTAATTCTCAACCAGAGTTGAAGGAAAGATAAATTGAATGGAAATCAAGCCCATTTTTTTCTTGTTTAATTCCTCTACAGTTTTAACAGTTCTTTTCTTTCTGTGTTAGACAGCTTTCTGTTAAGGTAACAACTGTTTGAGGTAAATCAAACTTACAGAGGAACGGTTTGGGTTTAGAGAATAGCTCAGTGGTAGAGTGCTTGCTTAGCATAGGTGAGGCCCAGAATTTAATTCCCAGCACCAAAAGAAAAGAGCAAAGTTTTATTTGGGCACACAGTTTTGGAGATTTCAGTTCATGGCCAGTTGGCTTATTGCTCTGGGGCGTGGGAGCAGGAAATCAAGGAAGCCCTCACCTCTTGATAGCTGGGTCAGGAGGTGAAAAAGAGAGGAAGTTTAGGGATCAGGACTCCACTGTTCTCTTCATGTCCCCAGGTGGGCATGGTGGCATATACCTATAATCACAGCTACTTGGGAGGTTGAGGCAGGAGGAATCCAAGTTTAAGGACAACCTCGCAACTTAGACCATGTCTCAAAATAAAAAATAAAAAAAGAGCTGGGAATGTAGCTCAGAGGCCCAACACTCTTGGGTTCAATCTCACTACCACCAAAAAATAAAAAAGTATATTTCTAATGACTTAACTTCCTTCCACTGGGCCCCACTTGCTAAAGGTTCTGTCACCTCCCAGTAGTGCTCTGGGGCAGGGACCAAGCCTTCAACACATTCAAGGTCCAGATTATAGCACTTACCTCTGCTTATTACTCTGAAGTAGTGCCCCTTTCCCTGGTCTACTCTATAGAATGAATATCTTTCATTCTATAATCAATCACTAATTATGTTTTTTTGTTTATTTGTTTTGGTATGGTGGAGTGAACCCAGAAGTGCTTTACCACTGAGCTGCATCCCCAGCCTTTTTATTTTTTATTTTGATACAGGGTCGCACTAAGTTGTTTAAGGGCCTTACTAAATTCCTTGAAGCTGGCCTTGAACTTGCAATCCTTCTGCTTTAGCCTCCCAAATTGCTGGGATTACAGGCATGTGCCACCACACCCAGCCTCGAACTTGTTTTCAAGAGCAATTGTGGGACATCTATACCTTGTTGGCTAACCAGTGTTTCTCAGCTTTGCATGTTCAGAGCTGCTCCCCCCTTCCGCCCCAGAATGGGAGGAAGTGATTAATATAGGTAATTTAGCATCTTGTGTGATCTGGTAGTGCTGATCACACAAGATATGCTAAATTACCTATATTAATGTTGACTGACCTAGATTAAAAAGGGCTAAAGAGGTAATGGATAATAGGGAGAATGGTAACAATGAATATAGTTTATTTAAATGATTGGGAAAGACAAGAAGGAGAAAAATGGAAGTAGGACAGGATTGAGAAGGCAACAACATCTTAGAGTAAGACAGAATATCTGTTTAAAGATGTTAAGGAAGGACCTCAGAGCAGAGGTTGGGGAGTGGATTGGAGCTGCTTGAATGAAGAGGATATAGGTTTGATGGGATAAGGCCCCAGATTCCCCCTGTGGACATAGGTAGAATAGTCAGCATTTAAGGTTGTTACAGCTTCCCAGGAGCAGAGGAAGACACCATGGGTTCTCATCTTGGATACCTTGACTCAAAACAGGTTTATGCTGCTTTGTTTGTTTTGTGGACACAGTAGGATGGTTTGCTCATATTAGGTGTAAATAGTCATAGTGCTAAATTTACAGAAAGAGGATATTGGTTATAACTTTAAACTTACTCTAGTTTCCAGATCATACTATCTGGTTTGTGATTAGTAAACATGTTTAGTAATCATTTTTTTTGGTGTGAGAATAGTACAGTGACATTGTATTAGTTTCCTAACAATGTTGATTTATTAAATGTGTATATTTAAAATATACCACAAATCCATCATTACCCTGAGACATGTATATCATTACCCTAAGTACATGTATAAAGACACGAATGGTGTGATTCTACTTTGTGTACAACCAGGGAAGTGAAAAATTGTGCTCTATATGTATACTATAAATTGAAATGCATTCTGCTTACCTGTATAACAAATTAGAATAAATAAATAAATTTTAAAAATTCTATAATGCTGTGGGGTTTTGTTTGTTTTTTGGTAACAGGGATTGAACTCAGGAGCACTCCACTACTAAGCCACATCCCCAGTTCTGTTTTGTATTTTATTTAGAGACAGGATCTCACTGAGTTGCTTCGCACCTTGCTTTTGTTGAGGCTGACTTTGAACTAGTGATCCTCCTGTCTCAGCCTCCTGAACTGCTGGGAATTACAGGTATAATGCTGTTTTGACATGTCTTTATTTAAGAATGTATAATTTAGGAGCTTCAGAAAGTGGAAGTGGTCTAGCTGTCTGACCTGGAGTCCTCCTGGTCAGGAGATCAGGAGAAATGTCCTGAGTATCTGCTGTGTACAGGTTCTGGTGGGAGGAAGGAGGTCTGGAATAAAGGGAAAGCTGTGCTCTCCAAAGGGCTGCCTGTTTCCTCCCATGCAGATCTTGCTGGTGGTACAGGTGCTCAGAGATTCCTTTTCATGACATGAGGAGATGTTTTGCCCAGATGTATATTCTCTGTGGAGCTTCCAAATGTAGAATCAACAGAATTAAAGATAATCTTTCACCATCTATTCTTTTGTCAACCTTCTTTCACTATAAAATTTAAAAAATTTTTATACTAATATGCCTAATTTTTTTTTTTTCAGTTTGACTCAATACTGCTAAAACAGCACAATCATTACTGATTTCTGCATAAAACACACGGGGAGGGGGGTGAGGCTGAGGGCAAAGGGTTACTGTGTGTGCCCCTCACTCCCAATATATGGCTGGCAGAGGGGCCCCTGGAAGGTTGTTACTTTTTAAAATACCAAAAGCAAAATAAAAACAAACACAGTGAAAAGGCTCTTTGTTGTAGAAGTAGCAAAAACAAAACAAGAGAATGAAAATGCAAAAGACATCACATTTCAAGCCTGTAAGGACTGAATTGAAAGCTTTAAAGAGGGGACCCTCTGCCCCACCCCGCCCTTGGTGGCTTGTGATTCTGCCTCAGCACTTTGTGACCCTACCCTACGCTTCCCGAACTCACCAGAGCAGGGCTCAGCACTGATGCTTTGCCTTGGCTTTGGAGACTTATTTACTGTACTGAAAAATGAATATTTCATGACATTTTATGTTGTTTTCCTTTAACTCCTTTTTCTGTCTTTGGGTCTGAAGACCCATTCAGGGTACTTTTCAGAAACGTAACTGAGGATGCCAGAGAGGATCCTCTGCCTTACCTTCCCCCAGTTGTTGGCTCTCTGGGGTCCCATCCTTGAATCTTGAAACACTTGAATCTTGAAGTATGGAAACTTGGATCTTTGCCCTGTCTTTTGGATTGTGGCTTTGGACGTTGAGCCTGTTGTTTTCGCCTCCATGTCACCATACCGATTCTGTGTCTGGATTATTCAGATACCTGTCAGTTGTCCTCCTCAAAAGACATTTCCTGTCTACTGTTTCCTTTCCCCTATTTAGCCTGTGCTTTCTTACTCTGTGAAATCCGGAGAACTCTGTCTGAACTTTCCTGCTTCCATCTGTCAACTGCCATTCCCCAGTTGGAAATTCTTTACTTTCCCGTATATATGTTCTCTACTCTCCATGTGATTTTCTCCCTTTTTATCCTCATCCTTTGTAAAGGCTTGACTTATGTAAAAAACACAGTTATATACAAAGAAAGACAATTTTATTTCCTAGACTTGAAGTTGTATTTCTTACCTCATCCTGCTGTACCAGGACTTTGCAGACTGTACTGAACAGAGGTGGTGTGAGTAGGCACTCTTGCTTTTCTCCTTGGTCTTATAAGCAGTTAGTCTTATACCACTAAGAAGGATGTTAGCTGTGTCTTCCCTACTTGTCTTTTAAAACATTACAGAATTTCTCTTTTTATCAGAAATGGATGTTAAATTTTGTTGTTGCTTTGCTTTGTTTTGTTTGGGAGGCCAAGGCCTTGTATATTCTAGGTGAGCACTTTACTCTGACCTTGGATGTTGAATAATTTTGAATGTTTATTCTGACCTTTTGAGATGATATATTTTTTATTTTTTTATTTTTTAATATGGTGAAATATTTTGGCTGACTTTTGAACTTTAAATAACCCTGCATTCCAGGAATAACCCCATTGGTTATCCTATAATATCCTATATTTAAAAAGAAAAAAGTCTTAAATTTGATTTGCCAAATTTGCATTAATTTTTATGAGAAATTTTTGTCTGTAGGTTTCTCTTTTTGTAATGTTTGTGTGGTTTATCATCAGGATGATACTGGCCTGATATTAGAAAAAGTTGGGAAATATTCCCTTCTCTTCAATTTTATGAAGAATTGACATTTTTCTCTTGCTTAAGTGTTCGGTACAGTTGCCTGGTAAAGCCATCTTGGTGTGGTGCTTTCTTTGGGGGAAAGTTTTTAGCCACAAATTAAAATTATTTAATAATTATGATGCTATTCAGGTTCTGTGTCTTTAGTGAGCTTTATTTAGTAACTTGTGTCTTCCAAGGAATTTATTCATCTCACCTAAGTTATCAAATTTATTGGCATAAAATTGTCATGTTCCCTTAGCAGGCCTTTAACAATACAGTCTGTAGAGATGTTGCCCCTCTTGTTTCTGGTACTGGTAATTTGTGTTTCTCGATGTTTGTTTTTATGCTATCTAGCAAGAGCATTAATTTTATTGTTTTTCACAAAGAACCATATTTTGCTTTCATTGTTTTCCTATTTTTTACTAATAAAAGTGTTTGGTATGGAAATGTACATCACCTGATTTTTTATATTATAGAAAAACAGGGCCTTTTGAGGGGGGACATGTGGAAGCAATTGATTTTTTTTGTCGAATATAGCCATTATATTTGTTCCCAGACTTCCAACCAGATAATACTATTTCCTCATGATGCCATCACTCCAGTATTATTCTGTATCCAATGTTTGCCATTTTCACACATTCATCTATCACCAGATTCATAAAGGGATCTGATCTCTATAGTACTGCTTGGACATGACTGCTATGTTTAATTTCAATAACTTTTTATCCATAATATTTTTTTAATTCTGTAGTATGACCTCTGCTGTACATGATGTCTGATTGGCTAACTCGGAACTTAATTGATTTTTTTTCCTATTGTTTTTCTGTTTTATATATTATTGGTTTCTGTTCTGCTTTTTCATTCTTCCCTTTCCCCCCTTCTCGCTCCCCCATTGGATGCCATTTGCTCTTCTTTTTCTGCCTTCTTTCTTTCTTTATTTTTACATGGTGCTGAAGATTGAACCCAGTGCCTCATATGTGCAAGCATGCGCTTTGCCACTGAGCCACAACCCCAGCCCTCATTAAGGGTTTTTAAATTTCATTTTATCTTCTTTTTCCCTTCCTTGGGTTGGGGGTACTAGGGATTGAACCCAGGGTCTCATGCATTGTTAAGCACACATTCCACTTACTGGGTTCGATCCCCAACACTGCATAAAAATAAATAAATAAAAATAAAGGCATGCTGTCCATCTACAACTACAAAAAAAAAAAAAAGTGAAAAGAAAATCCACAGAAGAAGAGAAAAGTTTTCAAACATATCCCTTCTTATTTTCAGTGCTGGGGGTTGAACCCAAGGCCTCCAGCACAGTCGGCAAGTGTTCTACTGCTGATTTATATTCACGGTGTAGAGCATGTATCTTCTAAAGGACTTACTTATAAAATATATAAAAATTATAACACAATAATATGACAAGTAATCCAATTAGAAATGGCCAAAGGATATGAATAGATATTATTCCAAGGAAGATACACAAATAGTAAGCACATAAAAATCCTCAAAATCATTAGCCTGCAGGAAATTCAAATCAAAAGCATAAGATATCAGCTGGGGGTGTGGTGGTGGACACCTATAATCCCAGCTATGAGGAGGCTGAGGCAGGAGGAATTCAAGTTTGGGGCCCTATCTCAAATTAAAAAAATTGAAAAGGGCTGTAAGTATAGATTGGTGGCAGAGTGCCCTGGTTCAATTCCAAGTGCCACAAAAACAGGAATAACAAACCCGTAGGGGGCTGGGGTTGTGGCCCAGTGGTAGAGCATTCGCCTACCTCATGCAAGGCCCTGGGTTCGATCCTCAGTGTCAAAAAAAAAAAAAAATCTAAACAAAATAAATGAATAAATAAATAAATAAAGTTAAAAAAAACACCCGTAGATACTATTTTATATCTAGTAGGACAGGGCAGCTATAATAAAAGGCATCCAATAAACTGCATTGGTACAGATATAGAGGAATTCTCATCCACTGTTGGTGGGAATGTAAATGGTTCAGCCCTTTTGATAACATTCTAGCATTTACTCAAATTTAAAGCAAATATTATAACAATATATGGTGGGATGTATAACACGTGGAGAAGGAAAATGTAAAACAATACAAAGCAGAGGAGGAGGAGGAATGGAGATACACAGTTATCAGGTTCTTATAAGTAAAGTGATAACATTACCTGAAGATAGATTGTGATTAAGTATAAGATGCATAATATAAATCACTATAGTAATACAACAAAGACATACAGCTAATTAACTAAAACAGAAGATAAAACAGGGGCTGTGTATCTTCCTTGTTCATTCCTAAATATAGAAATACAATTTGTTTGTTTGTTTTTATGGTATTGAGGATGGAACCCAGAGGCACTATACAACTGATCTATATATCCTCAGCTCTTTTTTTTTTTTTTTATTTTGAGACCCGACCTCACTAAGTTGCTGAGGTTGTTCTTGAACTAGCAATCCTCCTGCCTCAGCCTCCCCTGTTGCTAGGATTACAGGCATGTGCCCTGTGTCTGACTTCACAGTTTTTGAATACTAATCTTATGTTCTGCAACTTTATTGAATACTTTTATTCAAGTAATATCTTGTTGGATTCTTTAGGATTTTCTGTATCAAAATCTTGTCATCTGAAAATAAATATAGTTCTATTTCTTCCTTTAAGTATACATTTTTAAAAAAATATTTATTTTTTAGTTGTAGTTAGACACAGTACCTTTATTTTATTTATTTATTTTTATGTGATGCTGAGGATCAAACCCAGGCCTCGCACGTGCTAGGTGATCGCTTTACTGCTGAGGTATAACCCCAGCCCTAAGTATACATTTTAAAAATTTCATTTTCTGCCTAGTTGCTGTGGCTATAACCTACAGTATAATGTTGAATAGAAGTGGCAAACATAGATATTCTTTTTTTGTTGTTGCGGGGGCGGTGTTACGGGATTGAGCCCAGGGGCACTTAACCACTGAGCCACTTCCCCAGCCATTTGAGTTTCTTAGGACCTCACTAAGTTGCTGAAGCTGGTTTTGGACTCAAAATCCTCCTGCCTTAGCCTCCCGAGCCACTGGGATTACAGGCATGCATCACTGTGCCCGGCTAGATAGTCTTTTACTCCTGATATTGGGTGATTTCTAAGGTCTTCAATTTTTCAACACTAAGTATAATGTTAGCTGTGGGTATGGTTATTTGGTTTTGGTTTAAGATGCTCTTTATCAGATTAAGTTCTTTTCCATTCCTAGTTTTCTGAATGTTTTTGTATTGATAGGTATTGAATTTAGTTAAATTATTTTTTTTGCATTTATTGATATGATTATGTAGGCTTTATCATTTTGCTTGTTGATGTGATATATATTACATAAATTTATATTTGGGTATTAAACCACCTTTATATCCCTAGGATAAATTTCACATAGTAATGATGCATAATCCTTTTTATAGATTGCCTATATTTGAGTTACTAGTATTCAGAATTTTTTCCTTTTATATTCATAAGAGATATTGGTTTGTATTTTTATTTTTTTGTCTTTATTATTATTTTAATAGAAAATTTTTGATTACCAATCCAGCTAATAATAAGCCTATTTGGAGTTTATTTCTTCTTAAGTCATTTTTGGCAGTTGGTATCTTTCTAGAAATTTGTTTATTTCATTTAGGTTCTCTTATTTGTTGGCATTCATGTCTGATAATTATTTTTCTTTTGGATGCCAAACATTGTAAATTTTCATCATTGGATGTTGAGTCTTTTTGTATTACTGAACTTTGTTCTGGATAGAGTTTTATCCATTTGGGTGTTGCTTTTAAGCTTCATTAGGGGAGACCAGAACAATACTTAAGATAAATTATCCTCAATACTGAAGCAGCACCTTTTGGAGTCTCCATGCAGTGCCTCATTCTTTATGAGGTTTTTAAACGCAGCTGATGTGATTAGGCTATTCCTGGCCTGGGTGAGCTCTGAGAATTGTTTGCTGTGCTCTTTTGGGCAGTTATTGCCCCAGCTTAGGGTAGTGCTGTTTAAGTAGTCAGCTGAATACTCAAGGGGTCCTCTGAAGATTTGAGTTCTTTTCTGTGTAGCTCTTTCCTTTCTAGTATTGTACACTGCAAATTCTAGACGGCTTGGCTTTCCCAGAATCCAGCTCTGCTGCCTCCATCTCCTCAACTAAGGAAGTTTTCTGAGTTTCACCTTCCTGCTCTGTAGCCTGGAAACTTTCCCAAGGTGGCAGTCCATGCCAGTTGGAGAGATCAGTTTTTTTTTTTTT